GTCTTCACTTTCCAGTCTCAATAGAGCCCAAAAGCGCCTTTGCCTTTACAAGAGCCAGATCAGGCTGAAAATGGAGTACTTCTGCCATATATGAACAGGACCTGCCCAGTCTTCTCTTTCTAGTCTCGATAGAGTCCAAAAGCGCCTCTGCCTTTACAAGAGCCAGATCAGGCTGAAAATGAAGTACTGCTGCTATATATGAACAGGAGCTGCCCAGTCTTCACTTTCCAGTCTCGATAGAGCCCAAAACGCATCTGCATTTACAAGAGCCAGATCAGGCTGAAAATGGAGTAATAGTGCCATATATAAACAGGATCTGCCCAGTCTTCACTTTCCAGTCTCGATAGAGCCCAAAAGCGCCTCTGCCTTTACAAGAGCCAGATCAGGCTGAAAATGGAGTACTACTGCCATATATGAACATGAGCTGCCCAGTCTTCACTTTCCAGTCTCGAAAGAGCCCAAAAGCACCTCTCTGCCTTTACAAGAGCCAGATCAGGCTGAAAATGAAGTACTACTGCCATATATGAACAGGACCTGCCCAGTCTTCTTTCTAGTCTCGATAGAGTCCAAAAGCGCCTCTGCCTTTACAAGAGCCAGATCAGGCTGAAAATGGAGTACTACTGCCATATATAAACGGGAGCTGCCCAGTCTTCACTCTCCAGTCTCGATAGATCAATATAGATAGATAGATAGATAGATAGATAGATATGTATGAAGGCTGAAAAGAAAGACTGAATGAAATAATGGAAGAGATTGCCCAGAGAAACATATATATATATATATATATATATATTGAGAAAGCCTCTGAGAGAGAGACAAGAGAGAGATAAGGCTGAAAATGGGTACTACCATAATAAAAATAATGGACTATTCCATACTTAATAAATACTTTTCAGTCTCAAGCCCAAATTCAGTCGCTCTTTCTTGAACGACAGATCAGGTTGAACTCTGCCTTCGGGCTAGGAGGAACCTGAACGAGTCTTACGCCCAGCGGCGGAGTCTCGTTCCGTTTCCTCTCCGCCCGAAGCCAGAGAGGTTGAAAATGAACAGCCGGTCAGGATATGAACCGACTGACTCCTTGCCTGCAGTCTCGATAGAGCGCAGTATTTATTAACAAGAGCCAGATAATTATGGAAAATGAAGATAGATAGATACATAGATGAACAGGAGGTGCCCAGACTTAGCTGGTCCAGTCTCGATATTTCGTTCCTCGCTTTGCTGTCCAGTAATAAAAAACAAAAAAAAACGCGCCATTTAATAATCCTCGAATATTAACCTGTCGTTAAATCACATACGCACACACGCACATGCACGCACACATCCACGTCAGGCTGAAAATGCATGTATTAATTTCTATTTTTTACGGCTGCAGTCTTCGCTGGCGCCAGTTGAATAGAGCCCAAAAGCGTTTTAGCTAAAAAAATCAGGCGGAAAAAAAAACTGTATTTATCTCCTTTTTTGTTTTTTCTCAGGGTATCGATTGTCAGGAAAATTTCTCTCGCATATTCCATCTCTCATCTTTTCACACACATTTCCTACAACTCAAAACGCATTAATCACTGCCAATGGCCGAGGAACCTCTCCTTTCTACACGCTTTTTGTGTCAACGACATCTTTCTTTCACTTTCCAGTATCGATAAGCCCAAACGCAAAAAAAAAAAAAAATGATAGGTTGCGAAATGGAGATGGTGACCATATAAACAGGAGGTGATTCTATTTTCCAGAAACGAAGAATGGGTAACCAGGAAGGCAAGGACAGATCAGGCTGCTAATGTTACTACTGAATAGGTTAATTTCTTCTTCGCCTCAGCACACGTAAATTCGAGGAAAAGGAATACCTCTGTATTTAGAAGGGTAAATAAATGAAATGGATTTATTTACATATATGAATAAAGCCATCATACTACTCGTTGCTGTTGAAAAAGTCCAAAACGCCTCTGTGTTTTGGAAGAAAGAAGGCTGAAAATGAAGAATGCTGGTCAGGACCTCGAGTGATGTTTTTTGAAGACTCGGCGGTGGCGAAGGATCAAAGCCAGAAAAGTATGAAAATTCACTCTACCTGCGGCGTTCTTGAACCGCCTCTGAGTGTTGACATCTCAGTCAAGTCTCTCCTCCTCTCTACGGCGTTGAATCAAGGAATTTATATCCGTCGTATCGGCTCCAAATCAAAGTCTGGGTCTTTTAGCGCGAATTCTTTATATCGGTCAATATATATAGTTTCATTTTTCTTTTAATAACGAAATCGTGCGTCGTGCTATGATGCGCAGAGATGCGTTTTCGCATTCTGCCTCGGGTCTTCGCGCAATCAACATCCGGTATAATGTAAGAGACACAATACTATCAACATATAACCCTGTCAGCATACAACACATATGTAATCATAATTGAAGATAAGGCATTGAAAAATTAAAAAAAATAAATTAAACTGCTTTGAAATATTTAAATTTTGTCATTATATGACCAATAAAGTTGATATACCTCTGAACAAAACAAAAAAAAAAAAAAAAAGAATAGGAAATTACGAGATGGTAACCATTAACTGACATCTATTAGGAATGGAGAATGGGAACTAGAACAGGTCTACCTCAGTACAGCGAAATAAATTTCAGTTCTTCGCCTCAATGACCTAAAGAGGAAAAGGAATACAACGGCCGAAACGTAAATAAATAATAATTTATTTGGCGACAAAGACGAGGACAATAGTCCGAATAATGTGTAAAAGGCAACGTAATAATACCTCAGAAAGAAATAAAGAAAGAATACTGAAGGGTCGAAACGTTTAATAAATATGGCGACAAAGATGAGGACAATGAAAAGTCCGAATAATGTGCGGCGTTCATGAATACCTCATCTTGAAATATAGACAGATACTGACGGGCCGAAAACGAATTTATAATAAATATGGTCCAAACAAAGATGAGAACAATAGTCCGAATAATGTAAATAGTATACATAATTTCATTTCAGAAATATAACGACGAATGCTGAAGGGCCGAAACGTTGTAATAAATATGCCTCGACAAAGACGAGGACAACATCCGGAATAATGTAAATAGTGTCAACATATAACCTCATCTCAGAAATATAATCATAATTGAAGAAGGGCATTGAAACGTTGTAAAAAATATGGCGAAAAGATGAGGACAATATTTAAATTTTGTAAATATGACCAACAAAATTGATCATCTCAGAACAAAACAGATACCAAAAGGGCCAAGAACTTTGAAATTAATATGGAGATAACTGATAACAGACACAATGAACTAGAATAATCTAAATCAGTGAACGAAATAAAGGATTCATCTCATTCCAATGATGAAGACAGATACTGAAGGGCCGAAACGTTGTCATAAATATGGCGACAAAGACGAGGACAATAGTCCGAATAATGTAAATAATGTACATAATACCTCATCTCAGAAATATAGACAGATACTGAAGGGCCGAAACGTTGTAATAAATATGGCGACAAAGATGAGGACAATAGTCCGAATAATGTAAATAGTGTACATGATACCTCATCTCAGAAATATAGACAGATACTGAAGGGCCGAAACGTTGTAATAAATATGGTGACAAAGATGAAAACAATAGTCCGAATAATGTAAATAGTGTACATAATACCTCATCTCAGAAATATAGACAGATACTGAAGGGCCGAAACGTTGTAATAAATATGGCGACAAAGACGAGGACAATAGTCCGAATAATGTAAATAGTGTACATAATACCTCATCTCAGAAATATAGACAGATACTGAAGGGCCGAAACGTTGTAATAAATATGGCGACAAAGATGAGGACAATAGTCCGAATAATGTAAATAGTGTACATAATACCTCATCTCAGAAATATAGACAGATACTGAAGGGCCGAAACGTTGTAATAAATATGGTGACAAAGATGAGAACAATAGTCCGAATAATGTAAATAGTGTACATAATACCTCATCTCAGAAATATAGACAGATACTGAAGGGCCGAAACGTTGTAATAAATATGGCGACAAAGATGAGGACAAAAGTCCAAATAATGTAAATAGTGTACATAATACCTCATCTCAGAAATATAGACAGATACTGAAGGGCCGAAACGTTGTAATAAATATGGCGACAAAGATGAGGACAATAGTCCGAATAATGTAAATAGTGTACATAATACCTCATCTCAGAAATATAGACAGATACTGAAGGGCCGAAACGTTGTAATAAATATGGTGACAAAGATGAGGACAATAGTCCGAATAATGTAAATAGTGTATATAATACCTCGTCTCCGAAATAAAGACAGATAGTGAAAGGCCGAAACATTGTAATAAATATGGTGACAAAGATGAGGACAATAGTTCGAATTATGTAAGTAATGTACATAATACCACATCTCAGAAATATAGACAGACTAGCAGCCAAACAAATAAAAAAGCTCACCAAGTAGTTTGAATTGTTCTTTGTGACATATTTTTTCATATATTTTTTGAAAATCTATAAAACATATATATATATATATATATATATATATATATATATATATATATTTCTTTTCTTCTTCTTTTCTCTCCCCCCTCTCTCTCCTGTTTTCTTTCTCTACTTTTCTCTGCTTCTCTGTCTTAAAGCCACATCAAGTTCACACACGTCTTCCCGTACAAATATCGAATTTTGGTCGTCGATTGATTGAGCCGTTTTTACTGTTTATCAACCCTTTTCAGATTATTTAATGCCAGAATGTCTTAGATAAAAAAATCATTTACGGATAATTTTGAAAATCTATAAAACATGCGTATATATATATATATATATATATATATATATATATATATATATATATATATTTCTGTCATTTTATTAAACTTTCTGAATATAAATATCGCATTCAACGTTAATATGAATAATATTACTATAACTTATTAACTGTAATTCGTTTAGATTGTTAATATACTACCCGTGAAGTAAATCAGATATTAAACAGTATATTTCGAATCTTGTCTTTGGTGTTAGTCAGCAAG